GGAAAAGGGGGGGACAAGGAACTTTCCTGGGGCTCTGGGACACCTTGGGGCACAAGTTGCCCAGAGCAGCTGTGGCTGCCCCATCCCAGGAAGTGTCCAAGGCCAGGCTGGACAGGGCTTGGAGCAAGCTGGTCCCATGGAAGGTGTCCCTGCCCATGGCAGGGGGGGATTGAGATGAGCTTTAAGGTCCCTTCCAACCCAAACCTTCCTGGAACTCTATGAGATACCAAGATTTCAGCCCAAATAATAGGAATAGTCATTCTGTTAATGCTGTTTCAGGCCACTTACTTCAACTGGGCCTTCACTGAGGGCTGCTGCCCTGAAAGGCAGAAGGCACAATCCCAAAATCTGACAACACCCTTACCTGGTCTCTGGCTCCCTGTGACTCAAGACCTGGGCTGGACAGAACACATTTTGTGCTCTGAACACTAAATCCAGCCTTTCCCGAGCCCATCCAGTGAGAAACCTGCAGTTCCTGCTGGCTGTGAGCTCAGAGCAAGCTGGAAGGAGGGAAGTGGAGCTGCAAAGCAGGATGTGCTGCCTGCCATGAAGGTATTGGAAGTTTTAACATACATGGAAATGGCGTGTGCATTCAGTTTTGAGTTTGTAGAGGCCTTGGGGTCTCCTAGGACCAAGTCAGTGTTGGTCAAAGGGTCTGCTCGTAGGCTTCTGTCCCCAGATTCTCTGGGAATCTTCAAATAGCTGTTGGAAAGACTTTCAATCAAATACATTTAAAATAAGTGCTAAAGGCAGTGTGATTTGTAAAACTTTCCTGCGCTTTCTTAGTCACCATCGTCCCAGTTGCCAAGTCTCCTTGGGAATGGATTTGAAAAGCTGGGAGCAGCAGCCATCTCCTGAGGCTGTGTGTGGAAGCAGTTCTGCCCCCCCGGGGGTGCAGAGAGGACCATCTGGCAGTGGTCAGGTTGTTACAGTTTGCTGTGTCCATCCGTTCTAACCCAGCCCGGTGCTTTGCAATGGGACAGATCCTCAGGTGAGCTCCTGAGTTCCTGTCTGGGAACTTCCCAGCCTCCTCACTTAAACTCACTTGGGTTTTCTGCCCTGCTTTTGTCTTTTCTGCATGTCCCTTACCCTTCCATAGCAGACTTGTTCTAGAGATCATCTCTCAGGCCTCCTGCTCCTGCCGAGACAGAAAAATGACTTACTATGGTTTTAAATTGTTTGTAAGTCGTGTGTCAAGCTCTGCTTTTACCCAACTATTTTTATGTTTCATTTCATAGAATCACAAAGTGATTTGGGTGGGAAGGGACCTTAAAGCTCTTCCAGTTCCACCCCCTGCCATGGGCAGGGACAGCTTCCACTAGGCCAGGTTGCTCCAAGCCCCACCCAGCCTGGCCTTGGACACTCCCAGGGATCTAGGGACAGCTACAGCTTCTCTGGGCAACCTGTGCCAGTGTGTTGTAAGCAGAAATAGACACTTCCACTTATTTTTTATGTTGAGAATTCACCAAACCAGTGAATAATCTCAATAATACAAGCCTGGTGTGTGCAGTCACCCCCTTCACTATCAGGGATTGGGTAGAAAACTGGAGCTAAGTCAAAGGTTTGACTGAAGTGAGGATGAACAGACTCAATGAGAATCCTTAATTCCTCATCCTCATATTCCCAAATTAATAAGCTCTAAACGTTTTGTTGCAATCAATACTGAATTTGACACATAAATCAATTTTTATCCAGGACAAACCACAAAATCACCCAGAACAAAGTATAAAATTAGCAAGCACAAACATCTCCTATAGATCAATAACCTGCTCATCCCAAAAGTTCTATAAAATAAGGCTGAAGGACACTTTGTACACCAGGTACAGAACACAAAAATGTGTTTTGTGGTATTTTGTCCCAAAAATATGTATTAATGTTACTTGTTATATGTGCCATGACTATGAGCACACACAGAATCCTAATTTCCCTTGCCTCTGAACTCTGATTGTGGGGCTGTTGCACATCTAGATGAACTAGGCTGAGAGTGGAATGCGTGGAAAAGAATCTCCTAATGTTCCACCCTCCTATGGATTTTAGCACAAAGGAATGGGAAAGCAACATATATCTAACAGCCTGTTTAGGGAAGGTGAGAAGCCAGTCACCCAAGAGTGACTTTGATGTGGTTTACCTTTATTCAGGAAGGGCTTGATCTGCTTCAGTTCAAAAATGTGGTCCAGGAAAACACTCCTCAAGAACTACAGATCTCTGACATCAGGAACAGGCTCTCCTCCCCTGCAGGACATTCCTGCCTTGGACATCAGCAGAAATGTAAATTTTAGCACGAAATTTTCTCATGGAAACAGTGGCACAATCAAAAGATTAACTCTTGGTTTATTGCTTTGATCTATTCCCAAGGTAGTCTGGTGAGGCGGCATCATAAATTCAGTTTTAGGTGGTTTTGTACTGAATAAAAAAAGCCAGTTGCGGCAAAAGCACCAAAAAAAGTAACATGGTATAAAATAATGCTCCAGAATAAACTTATTCTCCTGGCTTCAGCCAGGTCTGTAATTTCCTGCATAGTTACAGCCATTTTCCCTTGCAGCACAACAGCATCTCACAGCAGCTTATCCCATTTCTTCAGAGGGAAACAATCTTCTCACTAATGGTTATTTAGGCCAGTTTGTGGTTTAATAATGACATTTTAAGAAAAAGTCAAAGTGCTTGAGATAATATAAAGATGAAAAAAAAGGCAGAGCAAATATAACGCAGAAATTAGTTGTGAATTTTCAATCTGTGCTTCACTTGCACGTTTTGATCCAAATTGTTGGTTGTGCAAGTTGTTCAGGAGAAGGTGTTGATAGACCCTCCAACAAATTATTGTTTCTCCTCCACAAAGACTTCTCACAGAACATAGAAAGGATAAAGCAATAACTGTGGGGAGAGGGGAGAAACTTCTCGAGGCCACTGGAGCACAAACCTTTTGGTGATGGAGAACTTGGAGACCAAGTGCTCTTGAAATGTGTTTCAGGCCGTTTATAGTTCGGAAGATGGAGAAAACTATTGGAAAGACTATTTAAAATCCTGATTACCACAGGAGAACTTGAAAGGGGAGCGATTGTGTTTGGTTATGTGGTTACACTGGGGCCGGCAGTGCCTGGAAAATGCAGTCCTCAGGATGCAGGAGGCCAGTCAGGGACATCCTTAAATAATTGGTGTGTTTTAACAAAATAATCATGGCATTTGATGGATCAACATTGACTGGAGGAAGGGGGAGAAAGGTGGATCCGTGGACGGAAAATTGCTGAGCTTAACTGGCAAAGTGCAGGAAGATAATAAAGTATTGACATCCCAGCCCTTGGAGAGGGGGGTGACGTAAGGAGTGACAAATCAAAAAGTCACCATGAATTTGTCAAGAACGGGGGAACAGCTGTTCAGGGAGCAGCACTGAAAGGGATCCAGGGATTACAGGGGATCAGGAAGAGTCTGAACCAACGTGGTGATGCTGTTGCTGAGTCTGCAAATACCACTCTGAGAGCCCGTTACCTAATTAACCTGATTATTGGACACAGACCTGAGCAAGAATGCAAAGTTGAGAGGAGTCTAGAGCAGCCCAGCAATGGCAAAAGGTTTACAAAATATGGCCTATGAGATCATGAGGCCTCTGAGAATTTGTTTAGTCTAGAAAAATAAAGTTTTAGGGAGAAAGTGATAATATTATGTGAAATGACACAGTATCTAAAATGTTAGTGGAACTCGATGCTTGTTAATCGTTCTTTGTATCTGCTGGGCACTGCACAAAGAAACGGAAGTTCACAGCCAAAGCACAGTTTAGATGCTGGGGAAAACTTTGGGGTTTTGAAGGGCAGTTGGGTGCTGGAATAGGCTGCCTAGGAAGATTGCAGAATCCACTTTATTGTAGGTTTTAGAAAGGGTTGGACTGGCTTTGGGCAGGAACAGTCACACCTCCTGCTTCACCTCTCAGTGGCAAAGTGCTTTGGCCCTGAAAGTGGGATTAACACACCTTGTGCTTTCCCTACGGAAATACACCAGATACATGGTGGAAAGGCTGTCAGACATTGCCGTTATGATGGAGACAAAGCTCATCTCCCTTAATCCGTGCCCGAGTCCGAGCCTTCACCTTCTGAACCACCTCAGGCTCGCAGGCCCTGCTCCGGGGACACCCTCACAGGCTTCAGCCCTGCACCACCCCAGCGGCCGGTGGGAGCCCGCGCTGCTCCAACAGCCGCGGGGGCGGTTACGCCGCCGCTCCCCGCGCGGGGCCGGGCCGCACAAAGGCCGCAGCCCCCGCGCTCCGCGGCCGCGCAACGGCACTTCCCGGCAGGTACGGCCGGGCCGGGCGGCCGCGCTCCCGCAGGCCGCGAGTACCGGGGGCGGCCATGTTTGCGTCCCCGCGGCCTGCGGGAACTTTCGGGGGAAGTTTGCGGGGCGGC